GAAGGAAGGAATAAGTAAGAAAAGCACAGGAGGAAGCCGAAAATGAAAAGAAACGAAGTTGGGGAAAGCAGGCCAAGAGAGGCAAAAGAAAAGGAAGTAAGAGAGCAAGACAAGAAGAGTAGGAGAAATCAATGGAGAAAGAAAGGAAGACATGGTGAGCAAGATGTGAGAACAAAATCATAACAGGTTTAAATCTCTGGGCATTTACAGCGCTCATTATGTGTGTGGCACCATGGGATAAGCACTCGACCTCAAGGTCAGTTCGAACCACAAGGTTGGCAGCTCAAACTCACCAGCTGTTCCTCAGGTCTCTATGAGTCAGAATCGACTCAATGGCACTTAATGACAAAAACAACAATTCTGTTAAACATAAGGGGAAAATGTAACAAAAGTAAAAAGATATTGCAGGGGTTGCTGGTAGTATTGAAAATGGTCCAACCTCTCTGGAAAGCAATATGGCGCTTCCTCAGAAGGTTAGAAATAGAAATACCTATGATCCAGCAATTCCTCTACTTGGTATTTACCCACAAGAAATATGAACCATAAAATGAGTAGACATATGCAACCAATGTTCATAGCAGCACTATTGACAATAGCAAAAAGATGGAGACAGCCTAAGTGCCCATCAACTGAAGAATGGATAAACAAATTGTGGTATATACACACAATGGAATATTATGCTACCTTGAAGAATAACAAGGAAGTTGTAATCCATGCATAACATGGGTGAACCTTGATGACATTATGTTGAGTGAAATTAGTCAGTCACATAAGCAGAAACACTGCATAAGGCCACTATTGTAAAAGACTAAGAAAAACAACCCATACTAAAGGGGGGGAGGGATGTCCATTGCTGGTTACTGGGATGTGGAGGGTGGGGTGAGAGAATGGGGAATGGAGGGGAAGGTGGAGCACAGGGTAGGGAATAGACATAGGATAGTTTGGGTACTGGGAGGGGACAATATGCAAGGGAGAGGGGAATGGAAGAACAAAGTGGATGGAAAAACAATTAGGCAGATTTGCGTGGGCTAAATGGGACAGAGGTAAATAATGATGTATGCACAACCTTGGAACAACAGGGCTGTGTGATACAGGGATTGGGACATGGTTGGAATGGGCAAAAGGAGGGAAATTATGTTAAGATGCTTGGCTGTCTTTTGAATCTTGGTTTCCCTGTCATACC